AAAAAAAAAAAGGAAAAGAAAAACAAATGCAAAATATTATGAAAACCGAGTTTTCAAGTTGATGTATTCAAATGTCTTTCAAAGTATTACGTTTATGATATAAAACCTAGAAAAAAAAGTAAATCATCACATTTGAGAAGCTGAAACTAATGTTTTGGTTGAATAAAAGACTTAAATGATTCTAATTTTCTGTCAAACAATGAATTGATTTATCGACTAATTGTTTCAGCACTAACACAATTAACCAATCACTCTTTCCATCGTAAAACTTGTCTATTCACTGTCCACTCAACTGTTCATTCAAGTGATACATTAATCCAACATATTTTTCACATCACAGTTAATCCACTGTTTAACATTGTTACATTTTGAATGTACAGTAAATCTGTCTTTTCATTTTAGGTGTGAATAATATTTTAAAAGGATATTTTCTTTAATTCTAGGTCATACTTTTTTATAATCCAATCCTACTAACCTCTTACAATCACATTTACTTGGTTATTTATTTCTCTTTATTTGAATTCTTTGTGCCAGATACAAGCTTTTTGAGGGTGAGACTTCACTGCATTGCTAGCATTTGCTATGGCTGCCTGATTTCATAAAAGAGGACATGAACCCTGCATGCATTTAACCCTTAAAGTACTGCCTTGGCTCTGCATTTCCATCATGTTTGACTTAATATATACCCTGAAATGCTGTCCATGAAATCGGAAATGCAGGCCTGAAAGGAAAACAGCCGAATTCTCATTATGTAATACTGCATCAGACAGATTGTTTTGCAGTTATTTAAGGGTTAATCAGGTATCTCGACAAGTTCTTGCTTGTGTGACAATAAATGCATGTCCTTTCTCAACAGAAAAACCATTGGAAAAAACCAAGTATTGCACTTTTTTCAACACTTAAGTTCCTCTTCTTTTGGAAAATCTTAAAAATGCATTTTCAGGAAAAGAAGAATGCAACTTTTATGCTTTATTCCACATTGATATGTATCCAAACCTTTCCTCACTTGACTGCCAGTATTTGTAAGACATTAACATACTTTGTTTCTCCCTCTGTCTGATAGTCCTATCGAGTCCTGTCAGAACTTCTACCAAGACTTCACGTTGCAGATTGACATGGCATTCAACGTCTTCTTCTTGCTGTACTTCGGCCTCCGTGTAAGTAAAACAAAAAATATATAGATGTTGTTTATTTGCACTGTTATCCATGTACCTGGAAACTGTGAATCTCATTTCTAACCCTTCATTTCCACAGTTTATTGCTGCCAATGATAAGCTGTGGTTCTGGTTGGAGGTGAACTCAGTGGTGGACTTCTTCACGGTTCCTCCGGTGTTTGTGTCGGTGTACCTGAACAGGAGCTGGCTCGGTAAGGATGCTCACATCTCTCACACAGGCTGATTAACAGACCAAGCATTGTACAGCGGATCCTTTCGGCTTGTATTTAGGAGGCTGTGGTGCCACCCGGTGGATATAACTAGTCTTGCAGCTGTCAGTGAACACACCAGATAATCTCAGCGCCTTTCTAGGGCTGCAAAAAAGAAACTTCTTGATCATTTGTGGTCATTTACATGGGCACACCTACACTATTAGCCATATAAGTTTGATATTTTTGTCATGAAATAAACTTTTTGCTGGGACGTTGCATGACATGCATGAAAAGTCTGAATGATCTTCACTATCACTGTGGAAATAGCGCATCAAATTAAAAACTACAGCACAGCATGAAAACTGAAATGCACGATGATTTGAAAGCTTTATGAGCTTTACTCGTCAAACTGGCGCTTGTTTGCATGACAACTCTATCAGACATTGTATGGCTGCATCTGGTGTGCCATTTAAACTTGCATTTATGCGAGTCGATTTGAATGGAAATGTCATTTTCTATCATGTCTTTGGCCATGTGCTGTGGGCAGTGGGCATTGTGCTGCAGGTGTCATTCACATGCCCTTCACCTGTCCAGCAGAGCTCTCGAGTAACACTCGAATGAAATCATGCTGTGATTGAAAAGGACACGAATGGATAAAAAAAGGTAATAAGCTTTGCTTTGGGGCTCGAGTGCTAGAATAGAAGTCAATCTGCTAAATGTGTGAAGCTCATCACTCGGAGAGGTCTGTGAGGAATTAGAGGATTAAGGGGGATCATTTTTTTGCGGCATTACAGGTTTTTATAGCTGCGTTTTCTTCTCCTGTCAGCTGAGGAACAAACCTGCCGTGCAGCCAACACCAGCACCTCAAAGCAATGAACACCCTCTACTTTATAGTCACTATGACAGCTTGATAGGTACAGTTGCATAACGTGCCTGTGTATTTTCCCTGGGCTAATGTACTGTGACTTATGGTGTGAAAACAATAGGAGGACAAGCTAGTGCTGGCGCCATCTAGTGGACATGTTAGAGCATGGCTGGTATTTCACAGTATTGTTGTAGTTTTGGTCAACAGCATAGAAAGTCCATATAATTGTTAGCTGCATAATATTGATTGCTATTGGTTTGTTAGCAACAATATATTTTTACTGGCCATTTTATTGTTCCAACTCCAACAAATATGTGTTTTCTTGTGACCATTCTATCTGCAAAACATGTACTTTATGTTTCCAGTTTTTAACTTTTTTGAAATCATTTGCATGCACATTGGCCTGTTTGCTCTGTTTTAGTGTTATTTTAGCTTTTTTTTCCCCTTTTCTGATAAAGCCCAACCTTAACTTTTCCACACAGCTAAAATGCTGTTGATTGAAAGCATACTGCCCAAAAAACAAAATCACAAATTAATCCCTCAGATCCCTCCTCTCCTGCAGTGTATATGTTAGGCCTGTGTGGATGGAAAGATGTGATAAGACCAAGTCACATAATGATCAAGGGATATGTTCTGTTTGGTGTCTGAGTGATGTTTTGGGTTCAAAGAGTATTAAATTGATTTCAACCAATCTAATTAGGGTTGCAATAAAAGTTGTAAGTTGAGTTCAGTTGGTTTTGGTGCTGATGATCATTTTGGTTCTTTTTCCCAGAGTTCCTGAGTCAAACAATGTGAGCTTTACTGCAATTCTGCTGTTACTGTCACCATCCCGTTGTTCTGTTGTTACCGTTTGTGGAGGTGTTACTCTTTTTGTTGTCTGCTCAGCTATTCGTGGGACTCGCTGCTCATGTTAACTGTCCTATATACTTTGGCACCTCCTGCTAGACTCCAAACAGCAAATATACAAACATTCATGCACCTAGTTGACATAATGTAGGCTTGAATTCTTAAGTAATCCAAATTTGTTATTCAAATATATTTTAAAAATATACTGTAGGGTGTGTAGAGCTAATTCCAGTGGAAAGATTTCTCTGTCAGACATAATCTCAGTCAATATGATCCGTGAGCAATTGGTTGTGTAGGATTAGTGAGTAAATTACTGTTTTGTTAAACTGAGGGTTAAACAGGTTGTGAGGTCGTAACCAGCTCAGTAGTGTCTGCCAGCAGCTGTCGAACTCCCTCTTCTGATCAAAACTCCATATTTCACCCGGCGCTCCGCCAAGCTGCCAATTTGCCAATCTGCCAATCCTCATGTCTGAACATTTTGACACAAATACACATACAAAATACACGCTAATGTTCTCTCATACTAATGCACTCATTGATGCATGAGAAGCTTGCGGGTTTAAACATGACACACATTTCCCAACAACAACATACAGCAGCGGATAAACAAAGTCGGTTACTGCAAAGTCAGAAATTCTGACCTCCTGCAGGTGTGAAATACAAGCAGTCACCTACTGTAAACAGCACATTTATCACATTTATCTCTGACAGTGAAAATAATCCAGTGCAACTCTTACAAATATTATAAGCTAAACAGAACATTACTCTTCTAGATAAGATATTCATGTCTTGGTGGCGGCCGCATGTTGCAGCTTTTTCCTCCTGAACTGAAGGGTAAAAACACAGAAAACGGCTTTTAGTATTAAACTGTCCATTGAAACTAAATGTCCTCAAATGCTCTAAAGCTGCGGTTCCTAACTTGAGGTTCAGCAGTAAAATATGCTGCAGGATGATTAATGGAATAGGAAAGTAGAAAGAGCTTTATCTTAGAGGTCTGTAATTTAGAGAGAGAACAATATAATATGATGGATGGAATAGTGAGACATTGTTCTGAGTCATTTGAGTTTCATTTGTTGTGATTAATTTATAGGCAGATGGTGGTTTCAAAATAACAAAATAACCCTGAATGGAGGACTATATGGTATATAATAATCCTATGCAGTCCAGTCATACATCGACAGACTCACTTCCTTGTGTCTAATTGTGAAGATGTAGACATGTGCAATTCTCATAATCTCTTATTAAGAGTTTTTTTTTGTAAGTTTACACAGTCAGAAGCAGACACTGGAACAATTTGCCTTCAATTTTCAATGCATTATACAAAAAAAGGAAACGCAACCACTTTTGCAAAAAAACAACAACATTCAAAATTAAAAATGCCTAAAAATATTGCAGATTTTGTGGAAAAGCTGCTGTGACATCAGACGTTTTAGGCCACAACGATTTTGTTAATTATCCAGTAAAAACTCTCACTTTACTTGAGGGGGCATAAAAAGAGTAACTTATGATTACGTAATACGTCTTTAATAGTTTTGTGCCACTCAGCAGCTGAATCAGGAGTGACTCATGAAGAAAGGGCTCAAAACTATGTTTTGTTTTCAAACATTTCTCTAATCTGTGCTTTTTTCTTTACAAATACTGCATATGAATAGTAATAAATATTTAAATCAGACAATCTGATGAGCAAAAATTACTATTTTTGTTTAACTACTTCAGTGAACAGACATTTAAGAAGACTTGCAGTATTTTGCTGACAAGAGAAGTGACACATATTTCAAATTTCATTTTGCGTTTCAGATTAAATGGACTTTGCAGACAGATTTACGTCAGCGGCTGTATTTTCTCTCTTCGCAGTGACAGGTTTTTTTATGCTGCGCATTTAGTTTTAACCTCAACGACAATAGCAGTTATTACATCAACTGTGATTAATTTAGGGATTATTGCAGAATCACTAAATCCATAGAAAAACACAATTATTGCCAAAGCTCCTCATTTTTCTATACACAGCTTTACTGGCCGTGCACATGACTTGTTTCCTGCTATGAACAAAGGGACAAAGATACATGCTGTTGTTGTCCAAGATTACAGAATGAAATTTGGTTTGTCAAGAGCAGTTGCAGTGTTATAGGGATGAGATGTACGGTACATTGTGAAGCCAGCTGATGGACAGACTCGCTGTCTGGCCTCTTCCTTTCTCTGGATGAATCCTAAAGGAGCTTACACTCTAATATCCTGATGGGAAAAGGGTTTGCTTTAAGCTCGCCGAACACGCCTCATCACAGTGAGAATACTATGAAGGTCTGAGGTAAATCAGATAAAAAAATTCTTCAAAAAAAAAGAGTCCTTTTTGACGCCAACCTGTTGGCTGCTACGATCAAGTGCCCGATTCTCTTCGTTTTTTTTCTCTTCTTGGAGGATTGTATTTTTTCTACATGATATCTTTCACGGTGAACTCACAATAGTGACGACGTGGATGTGAAGCAGATTTTGGACTTTTGGACGTTTGAAACTTTTGCTTACCAAAAATAATTTTCAGACATGATTCCCACTAAGATGTTAGTGTACAGGGGGCCTGATGGAGGCACGCACTCTCAGACGATTTCTAACACAAGAAGGCGAAAGAAATCGACCGGGGAGCTCTTCCAGAATGGCTACAGGGTCAGGATGGGCCACGGGCAGGTCAGCGAGAAAGAGGACCAGGACAGCATCTGGTACAGCCTCGGTGCATGCTTCCATGTAATCTCCTACTGGGGTAAGACCTACAGGACGTGGGAACGAGGGGGAATCTCCACTAAAGCTGAACGCTAGCGTGTCCAGAAGTGTTTGGACTCTGTGTGTCAGCTGGAGCAGGTTCAGGTTCAGGATTTTGTTCTGTATTATGCTCCCCATCTGGCAAACACTCACTTGAAATGAAAAATGAGCTTTGGCCAGGCACATCATGGTCCACGTCATTTTATAAAAACTTATTTATTTATATTTTTCTAGCTGAACGGATGCCTGTAACATCTTTGATTTGTGTCATTTGGCATTCAAACAAATCTATTCCAGCAGGGAAATTGTCTTCTTGATTAATGCACGCAGAGATGGATTTCACTTGATTTGCTCACTCTTGGCCAAGGTGGCATTTAATTGTTTATGCTGCACCGACACTGCAGTGGATTCTACTTTCTTTTTTTTAAAACTGAGTTGGACCTATGAATCATTTGGCTTTTAAACTCAGGTGGGAGGTTCCTTTTTAGCAGGTAGCTTACTGAATTGCACCGAAATAATGAAACATAAACAATAGAAATATGTGTTATTTTGCTCATTCAGATGTGTTTTTGGAGGAGATTATGATTTCTGTGTTAATCATCTGAGCTTTGTCTGAGAAACAGCAGAAAAAGAGGCTGTGATTTAACACATATGTAGCTTAAATAATCGTATGATACAGTCAGTCTGTAATCACGTACAATACAGGACTCAGGCTTGGTGTTGTCACTGCTGATTTTGCTGGTGTTATGCCGTCCTTGAACTCTTGGCAACAGCTGGCTATATTTTTTTTCTTCCCATAAATACCCTCAAATTTAGGATTTGACGTCACATCTGTTTACTCAATCAATGTGGCGTGACAGCGTCCACCTGTCTCTAATCCAGGTTTTCATCTCTTCCACATTCAGAGTTTTATCCAGCAGGAATTAAACATGTATCAGGTAGATGCCGGTGCTTTGCGAGGCTCATGAGAGTGTTGTGAGTTGATGGAGAGATATAAATCTGGGATGCTGAGCTTTTGTTTTTTTCTCACATACTCCATAATGTTTCTTTTACAAGTGCAGTAAGGTTTAAGTGTCGCTTGAACAGACGGAGTTTATTTTTTTGTCAATATGAATCCAATGAAGTTGATAAACATGGATGAAAGTATGAAAGGTATGAGGTTCTTGTTAAACCGCAGTCAAATGCTGTTGATGTTGTTCCATTTGTCATTAATCATCTTAAAGTAATTTCTTTATGGTCTCTTTTTCTCACAGGCTTGAGGTTTTTAAGGGCTTTAAGGTTGATACAGTTCTCAGAAATTTTACAGTTTTTGAATATACTGAAGACAAGGTAAGTGTTTAATATTTTATCTTACTTTTTTTAGGTATAGCAGTGTGAATATTGCATGTAATGTGATCATTTTATAAGCATGAATATAGTTTATTTTAAAGGGGGAAAGTGCGCTTCTTTTGTAGTGTTTTGCTTGAATCAAAACTAGCATTAGAACTTGATTTGATTTGATTTAATAAACATAAAAGTTATGTTAATATTAAGTTTATTCCTCAATACTGCAGCCAGTAATGTGCTGTATTGTGCACGCTGTACTTGCATGATGCAGTCTGTTTCCTCGCTGCTTAGAATTAAAGCTCTTTGCACAGATGTCAGGAAGAGCTTATAGTGCAAATAAATGCTTTAGAATAATCTCCTCACTCATTCACTCAGATGAAGGTAAAGACAGAACATAAAATAAGAGAGGACACAGGTCATGCAGGGACTTGTACCACAATGATACATATACTGTGTTATAGAAAGGTCATCACACATAAATCTTACAGACAAACTGAGAAAGACCTTGGATAATATATTAGTCATATATTTAATGGCATTGGCTGAAAATCTCTTTTTACTGGTGAACATTGAATGGGAAAATATTGCAAACTTATATAAATATTTAAATGATTAAAAAACTAGTAGTATATGTGTTATAATTCCAAGTATGCACTGTAATTCCATACACAATAATTCAAAGAATATTTAAATTAAATTGAATGCAGCGGCTTTAAGGACTTGAGAATTTGCGCAGCATGTTGAATTCAGTCAGATTAAATAGATCAGGAAGATTTCCATTTACAATTTTTAACAGTTTCAACGCAATGCTACACTTTATTGCATTATGACTGAATGCAATATGAAAGCTGTATAATGCATTTTAGAGCATGCATCTTCCAGTCTAATCCAAGGGATTCTTTTGACATCTTGGCCTGTGTATTTTCCTGATGTCACTGTAATAACTAATACTTAATAATTCATTTGTGTTCTGTTTTTTTTTTTAATAGCAACTCGATAAAGCTGGTGAACCTGTGTTCAATCTTTATTAGCACATGGCTAACTGCAGCAGGCTTCATTCATTTGGTAAGTTAGCGGGAGCTGTTTGAGTTAAGGTGAAGTTAGTGTGTTGCATTATTTTAAGTACATACTTTTTACTGCAGTGTCAAAGAAGAATCCTTTATTTCTGTGTGTTTTGTGGTTGTAAAAATCTTGGACCTCTGTTCCAGGTGGAAAACTCAGGGGATCCTTGGGAAAACTTCAAAAATTCCCAGGCACTTTCCTACTGGGAATGTGTCTACTTACTCATGGTTACTATGTCCACTGTTGGCTATGGAGACGTTTATGCAAAAACCACCCTGGGCCGCCTGTTTATGGTCTTCTTCATCCTTGGCGGTTTGGTAAAAATCCCTCTTATTACTTATTCCTGCTTAAAATCCTCCATGCAACCAATCATCACACCCCGCCAGGTGTTAACAAACGCTGGGACGCTCTCAACTCAGGACGCCCTTCGCCTGTTGTTTACTCTGAGGTGTTTTTGTGGCTCACCACTTCACCACAGTATGTTGCATGTAATGTATTGTATGAGTTGTTTACAGTATTGCAGCATTTACTCAGGTTTAATACTGAAGTTGGTAACACTTAATACAGGTATTGTATGTATAATAAGGGTACTAATCATGTACTTAAGTAATACTTAACTAATGCATGACTCATCATGATTTAATGCAGTATGTATCATGAGGTCCTGTTGACCATTTATTAAAGTAAAGTGATGTAATCAATGAATTAAGTTAATGGTGAGCAACAGAAATCAATGATACATCCTGCATGAAATCATCACGAGTCATACGTAAGTTAAGCACTACTTAAGTATATGATTCGTACCCTTATTATAAAGTGTTACCCTGAAGTTTTGTTCTGTTATTACTTCCTATATGTAGAATATTTGAGAATTTTTGCATTTGTTATTAACTGTAAAAGTACTGCGGTTTCAGGTGGCTCCACACTCCTGCCCCCCCTCCCTCTTTCCAACAAACACAATGAGACAGGGATGATTTATTATAGCCTATCTTGATGGATGTAGCGACATTATCTCAGTTTCTGCATAAATATTTAAAGACATATTAGGGAATGAATTGCATGAAGCAGAGATTTCACAGAATAATATTAATATTATTAAATTAATCTTAAATCTTACAGAAAACATCCTTTTTGGGATTTGCCACAGACCTGAGTTACCTGTAAAGAAAGTAGCTAAAGATAATTTAGAGGACACTATTATACAGATCATATCATCAGAGTGGATTTAACAGCATGACACACTGTAATATGGTTATAATAGGGGTTTAAGTGACATTTTATATGTCCTTGGAAAGCCTAAATGAACTTATTAACTAACTATTAAATTAAAGAGCTTAAAGAATCTTACATTCGGACAGCGAACGTTTTCAAAGATACCAAATATTTCAGGCTGCATTTGGGGGAATTGTGTTTAAAATGATGCAAAACACATCAATATTGCACCAAAAAAAAAAAAATTGATAAAAAACAAGCTAATTGAAACTATAATGAATAATATGCAAGCATTCAATGTTTTATTTTTATCTTGTAAAAGCTGTCAAATTGCCATTTTTACACGATTTTCACAATTTTAATTTGTAAAATAAGAGCAGACAAATACATTGTGGCATTTTAAATTAAAGTATACAGACACTTAAATAGGAGCCAGCAGAGTTCAGTGTAGAGTCTCAGAGTTAAGTTAATGTCTGCCATCCATTTACTGTGCTATCAAAATCAACCTCACATGTGTGTTTGTTGGACAAAACATGGCACATAAGGCTTTTTCTTAATTTTTATAATTTTTATTTTTCTATCACAGATTGACATACCGCTCATCAGCTGTCATTTTTCTCCTTTATTCTTCCAATATCCGTAAATATTGGCCTTACAATTTCCTTTTTCATTTTCATACTACTTTGGAATGTAACTGTGATTTAACTTCAGGCTACATTCAGTCTGTACTGACTAATTTGAATGAATTGCAACATTTATTTTCTTTTTCTTTTTTCCTGTTAACAAATAAATATTAATACTACTCCTGCACGTACAGTAGTGTTCGTCTTTCAGACTTTTCTTTAAAGCAAAAATAGAGGACCTGCTCTTCTTTGTCTTTCTTTTTTTTAGTCTCTTCTTCTGTCTCCTATCTTCTCCTTAGGCCATGTTTGCAAGCTACGTCCCTGAAATCATAGAGTTAATAGGAAACCGCAAGAAATATGGTGGTTCCTATAGTGCTGTTAATGGGAGAAAGTAAGTATTCAAGGAGGCTCTACTGCCTCCGCCGCAGTAGAACCTTCTCTGCATGCCCTTTTCTTTTTCTTTTTCATGCATGTAGGCCATGTTTGCTCGCTACGTGCCAGAAATTGCTGCTCTCATCCTTAATCGGAAGAAATATGGAGGGAGTTATAACTCGACCAGAGGCAGAAAGTAAGTCAAACAAATGAAAAAAACAGCAAACTTTTAATGGTGTGGTTTTGTGTGACTTAATTGGCCCTCTCATAAAGAGGTGACATACCCTGATTTTTGCTTAAACAGACGTCATGAAACTGTAATTTGAGATGTATTGATCTCAAGTAGCATAAAAGTCACACTGTGACTGAAGAACTTGGCCATGATTAATGTGTAGAATTGATTGCACTGTATTGCTGCTGCTTATATATGTGTGCAAGCTGTCATTGCTGCTTCATGAATGAATGTCTGCTTTTACACTGCAAAAAAGAACTCTGCCTAAAGTGATTTTCTTTAGACCTAAAAGTCATATTTTCTTAAAAGAATAAAGTGAAAAAAATCTGGTCAGTATCTTAAAGAAAATGACATTTATGGAAAATTCTTTTGAAATGTCAGCTATTATTGGAAACACTTTTGAATAACCTATCTGCCAGATAGATGATTTTACTTGTTTTAAGAAAATTGGACTGATTGAGACAAAAATAGACAAAAAATTACTTGATAAGGCAGGTATTTTTGCAGTGTAGTCATGTCCATGTACTATTGTCATGCATAGGGGTTGGCATATGTCGGATTTTCTCACTGATCTATCCCTGTGATATAAACTGTGATTATTCATGCTACTACTGGGGAAAAAGAGAAAATGTAGTTTCCTTGATTTGCATGTAAAAAGAATCAACAAAGATCAGTTATTAAAAGCAAAGTAGGTTGTGTCTTGGTCAGTTTAACACATGATTAGGGTTGGGCTTGTTTCACCAATGACTCAACTGGTAACGTAGCTTACACACAGTAACATATTATGTTACTCTTACATAATTTGTAAAAGGAAGGATACATACTCTAGTCTTGCTTTATAACTCTGTAATCGTTGCTATGGTTACAACCAGTTCAGAGTCTTACTTTAGAACTCTGTAATTGTTGCTATGGTTACATCCAGTTCA